TGATGGGTTGGCACCCCGTCCTGGGTTGTTCCCTGCCTTGTGCCCTGTGATGGGTTGGCACCCCGTCCTGGGTTGTTCCCTGCCTTGTGCCCTGTGATGGGTTGGCACCCCGTCCTGGGTAGTTCCCTGCCTTGTGCCCTGTGATGGGTTGGCACCCCGTCCTGGGTAGTTCCCTGCCTTGTGCCCTGTGATGGGTTGGTACCCTGTCCTGGGGGTGTTCCCTGCCTTGTACCCATAACCTCTGGGATAGACTCTGGACCCCCACAGCCCTGAATAAGACAAGTAGTTTCAAATAATGGAGTTTGACCATTACAAGCTAAATGCATTACTTTGTAACGAGAGACACATTTTTTAAATATGAAAATGTCACACATAAACGAGCTGATTGAATGTTTAGCCTATGAAGAACACTACCAAAGCGATATGGACACTATACATATACCATAAAAATGACTGTGACTTTACCATTGAAATAAAAATGTCCCTTCTTCACCATGATGTTAATGTTGTTTTCTTTCATGTTACTTATATTGTGTAATAAAACAGTAAATGAACCTTATGAAGGAAGCTAATTAATAAGCAAAATTAATACCAATTTGTTAAAAGAAAAGAAAAAAATTGTGATTGAAGATTTAAAAAATGGATTTTGATTGACAGCAAGGTTGTAGTAAATGCCAAATTAATGAGATTGGTTGTATAACAATATTGTGTTGTATTTACTTTTCATTTAAGGAACTGCGTTTTCTTTTCCAACATGATATTGAGATAACTATAGTTCTCAGGCACTAGAACAAACTGTTCACTTGTATATGTCTCAATGGAGAGCAAGACAGGATAAGTGAAAACTAAATAATTTTCTTGTGCTTGTACAAATAAAGCTAATTTCATTTCAACATAATTCCACTTTTTATTTAATCTATTGCACACTTGGTAATAGGTATATGCTGGAAAACATAACTGCATATATACAGAGCACTTTATGATGAAGGTAGTAATGTAAATTATAACAAAACACAGTAAGATAAGGTAGAAATTACCAGGTGTGAGGACTGCCAATCAGTCCCCTAATTAGGGAGCTGCAGCGAAAACCCGCATATATAGCGGCTCTTTGCGGATAAGATTGGCCACCCCTGCACTATATGGACAAAAGTATTGGGACACACCTCTTAATCACTGAATTCAGGTGTTTCATTCAGACCCATTGTCACAGCTGTATAAAATGAAGGACCTGGCCTTGCAGTCAGGCTCCAAATGTGTGAAAGAATGGGTCATTCTGAAGAGCTCAGTGAACTCAAGCATGGTGCCGTCATAGGATGCCACCTTTACAATAAATCAGTTCATGAAATTTCTTCCCTGCTCAAAGCATTTAGGAACTACAGAAACTCAGCCATGAAGTGGCAGACCATGTAAAGTAGCAGAGCGGGGTCACTGAATGCTGAGGCACATAGTGTGTAAAAGTCACCAACGCTCTGTTTACTCAGTAACTGCAGAGGTACAAACCCCCTCTGGCATTAACCAGCCAAAGGACTGGGTGCTGGGAGCTTCATGGAATGCGCTTCCATGGCCGAGCAGCTGCATGCAAGCCTCACATCATCAAGCGCAATGCCGAGTGCCGGACAGAGTGATCTACAGCAGGTGGTGGAAGGAGAAGTGGAACCATGTTCTGTGGAGTGACAAATGATGCTTCTCTGTCTGGCAGTCTGATGGATCAGTCTGGGTTTGGCAGATGCCAGGAGAACTTTACCAGTCTGACTGCATTGTGCCAGCTATGAAGTTTGGTGCAGGAGGGATAATGGTATGGGGTTGTTTTCAGGGGTTGGCTAGGCCCCTTAGTTCCAGTGAAGGGAACTCTTAATGCTGCCGCATACCAAGACATTTTGGACAATTCTATGCTTCCACCTTTTTTCCATGTTTCAGCATGCACAAAGCAAGGTCCATAAAGACATGGTTAGATGAGTTTGGTGCGGAAGAACTTGACTGGCCGGCACAGAGCCCTGATCTCATCCCCATCCAACATCTTTGGGATAAACTAGAAAGAAGACTGCAAGCCAGGCCTTCACGTCCAATATCAGTTTCTGACCCCACAAATGCTCTTCTGGACGAGTGGGCAAGAATTCTCACAGACACACTCCAAAAACAACACTCTTGCAGAAAGCCTCCCCAGAAGAGGGGCAGCTGTTACAGCTGCAAGGGGGGGACCAGCTCCGTATTGATGTCTATGGATTTAGAACGGATGTCAAAGATGCTGTAGGTGCGATGGCCAGGTGTCTATATTGTGTCCATATAGTGTAACTGCCTGTACCATCTAATGTCTTTGCACAAATAACCAGAACAATTAAATAAAAACAGACTCAAGAACTGAAGTGCCTCAAAATTTCTGTGGGTAAAAACTAGAACCACTCATTTTATGCAATTTTAACTTTGTGTGTTGTTTGTTGAAATATGAGTCCTGACTTCCTTTCCAGGGGGAAAAATAATAAGCCACTTCAAACTGAATTACATTTTGAAATATCTCTTCTAGACACAAGTTATTACACAATAGTCACTATAATGGAGATTCATACTGCTTTTCACAAGTTTTCAATACATTAGGTGTGATTTTGTGTACAACCAACAGATGGAACTATTGCATCACCAATTCTGAAACATTTCTGGGGGAAAAAATAATCAATTTCTGGAAATGGAAATAAAAAAATTCTGCTGATACCCAGAAGCATTTCATCAAATTGTGCATTATGATTTTCCGTCATGAGATCGAGGCAGACAGTATTCCAATTTGAATGCTAATTATCTTGAACCAGGTATTATGAGTCACAATGAGAGAGCATGGTAACATTTTGGTAGTAACAAGAATCACAAGAATCAGGATGATTAATTAAATAACTTTACCACAGGAAGGCTAGTTTAGCAGAACTAATGTAGCAGAACATTTCCTTTCACAGTTGGTATTTAGCATTTTGCATATTCTCCTGTGTTTGCTGCTGTTTATTGACCATCATACATACTGTACTGCACTAAACTGCAATCAGGGCGGCACAGTGGCTGCTTTCCCATAAACCTCCAGAGCTTGGGCTTCGATTCTGCCCCGGAGCTTTTCGTCCTGGAGTCCAATGACACACAGGCTCCGGAGCAGAGGGGGGGGGTCTCTCAGCAAGAGAGGCTGGAGGGGGGGCTCAGGAAAATTTCCCGACCCACGGAGGAGGGGGTTCTCTTTTGCATGACTGTCAGTCATTAGGGAACTCTGTAAAAAATTTCTAGCTGGTGTCAGGGAGGGGGGGTGATCCTTTTTGGTAAATTTTTCGGTGGCCCCCCCTGCCGTGACACGGGGGTGGAAGCCCTTCTGCTCTCCTGCCTCCTCCGCCATGGGTTAGGCTAACTGGTGTCACAAAATTGGCTGTAATTGTGTGTGTGTGTGTGTGTGTGTCATGCTGCCTATTATAATGTCCATCAGACTCTGTCAAAGATAAGCAGGTGGAAGCCATATACATTATGGTTTATACATTAAAAGACTTACATTTTTAAAAGTTCTCAAAAAAAATAATATATTACTGGCACTTACCTGATTCTTAACACATAATTATTTAAAATAGTACCTCATAATAGCATGCTTTGTGTTTACCCTATGTTTTCTTTTCCAAAACCCACAGCAAAATACAGTAGTTGATAAATTAGATCTGTAAATTTGCTAGTCCATCTATCAACTTTCCCTAGTGCTCTTAAAAAGTAAACTTACACTTTACATAAAGTTAAACATGTAGTTTGCATACCTCATAATCTTTGCACAACAAATGGTTTTAATATTTTGATGGGAAACAATGTAGGTCATACAGACACATTCATCTTTCTGACAGTATCAAGACAAAGCACTCTTTTGGAACTTTCCCCATGAAAAACATTTCCTCAATATACAAACACCTTCCTATGCTCATACTATTTATGGATGGACAATGTTTAAAAATGAGCTATTCCCTCAGTTATTTGTAATATGCCACAAGTCTTGTCTATTATAAACGTAAAAAAACTAAAAAAGTTATGTCATAACTGTCAAACACATTCAAAATGGAGAACAAAAAAACCCAAGAATATCTGAATCTGGCAAAATCCAGGAAATTCACGACACTCGCGTACTGCGACAGTGCTATTTACGCTAATGATTACATGCATGATGATTACGTTATCATGATGTTGTCTCCAGACGAGGTCCAGGCCCTCCACCTCCATCGAACCTCTTCCACAAAGTATGAAATACAACCATAGCCAGATACTCTAAGCAGTAAGGAACCCTTTCACACTAGCAGTAACAAACTGAGACTTTGATGTCACAATATCAAAAGAAAATACAATGAATACACAGTGAGAAACTGAAAGGAATGAGTGAGAAGAAATATGAATGAACTTGTGATAAGCATTTTCTCCTTTATAAAAGTGAATTACGGACTCTGGCTTCCGCTTTTCATGCTGTTTAGTAGCACATATTGTTAGCCTTCATTTCAAAGGATAGTACTGATCTCCTGGATGTCCTCAGAAAGTTAGGAAATAACACTGTAGAAGGCAGAAGGGAAATTTACTTTTAATTATCTTACCTCTTTGTGTAATGTTCTCATTCCCTGTCACATCTTATTCAGGAGCATCTGGCTGGGACTGATAAAAAATGAAGATATCAGGTTCTTTTTTTCTCCATCCCAAACAGCCCCTTGAGGCGTATGGAACACAAACTTCATCTCGGAGATCTCCCAGGCATCCCTCCATGTAGCG